GATCGCCCTCGGAGCTGCGTCCTGCTCAGACGGCCACTTCCTGCTCAGAGTTCCTGGCTTCATCGTTTTGTGGTTTGTTCCTCTCTGATGGTGTTCAAGGACCTCCCGGCTCGGGCTCAGCCCTGATGGTGCCGGAGGCAGCGGAGTTGCCAGGAATCTGAGCCTGTCCTCCTGCTCACGGGCGGTGTCTTCGAGAATCTGACCCGAACCAACGGGGGCCCCAATGGTCACCACGGATACGTCCACTTTGGCTTCACCCTTGGGCGTTGGGCTGGGCGTGTATCCCCGACCTCCTTCGTGGTGCTGCTCAGATACACTTCCTCCGGTCACTCAGCCGCCACTGCAGGCCTGGGTGTCGGTGCTCTGCCGTCTGGGGGCACAGGCCGGGGGCTCCTTTCACAGGCTCCCCGCCAGCCCGCTGCCTCCTTCCTCGCAGACCTCCTTTTCCCTCTCTGTGGCGCCTCAGGTTCCTGGTTGTCTGACTGCTGCTCCCTGAGTGGGCTTTCCTGCAGTTGCCTGGGTTCAGCTCTCCGCGCTCGAGATCCTCCGTCTGTTTTCCAGTTGCCAAACGTTTGTGACATCTCTTGTCCACTGTTGTGTTGCTTTCCTTCTCGCCCCCCCCATCCCTGCGCCGGAGCCGAGGTTCCACTTTGCCTTTCGCATCTTAGTTTTTTAAGAGCAGGTACTTCGAGTGTGGTAAGAACTGGCTGGTGCCATAGCACAGCGAGTAGGGTGTTTGCCTAGCATGCGGCCGACCGGGTTCGATTCCCAGCATCCCGTAGGGCCCCCCAAGCACCGCCAGGAGCAATTCCTGAGTGCATGAAAAGAACGCCTGTTAACCTTTCATAGTGCCCTTGCTTTGGGTAAAGAAAATTCGCTCAGAGCAGAAAATGCCATAGGACGGGGAAGTAGTGCCGTAGTAGCCAGGGAAAGGCACATGGCCACCCTGCCCAATTGTGTGCCCGTCTCTCCACGGAATCACACACACCCAGCTGGGCCGTCCACAGTTCCAGGTGCCATGCAGTGACCACACGGGTCTGTGAGGCAAAACTGGACCCATGCTGGCGAATGTCACATATGCATGTCTAAGTGTATGGGGCCACGCAGGTGTGATTTCAGAGCCGTCGTTGTCTGCCAGCCTGGTTTCAGGGCAGTGGAGGAGACTAGCCCGGCTGGTGTGTGCCCACCAGGAGGTTCCTTCAGAAGCTGGTCTCCCAGGGTCAGGTGTGAGTGACCCTCAAGGGCACAGGTATTTTTATCTTATGTCGGTGGGGGAGGGTTTGGGCCACACCTGGGGTGCTTGGGGCTGGCTCCTGGCTCCAGGGGTCAGTCCTGTCACTCCTGTCTCAAGTGGTAGCAGGGACGAAACTGGGGTTGGCCTAGTGCAGGGACAGTGCCCTGACCCGTCTCTCCAGCCTGCCAGACGGCTGTGTTTAAGAGTCTTCAGTTCTGGCTCTAGAGAAATAGCTTTGAATTTTGAATTGGGGTTTGATGGCAGGTTTCAGCTGGTATCACGTTGGACTCGGAGGATCAGACTCTTCTGAGGATTCTTTTTTTTGGGGGGGGGGCTTTTTGGGTCACACCTGGCAATGCACAGGGTCACTCCTGGCTCTGCACTCAGGAATCAACCCTGGCGGTGCTCAGGGGACCATATGGGATGCTGGGAATCGAACCCGGGTTGGCCGCATGCAAGGCAAATGCCATACTGTTGTACTGTTGCTCTGAGGATTTCTTCTGAGGATTCTTGAAAAAAAGGTAATTTTGCTTATTGTAGTAGCATGTAAGTTATTTTGAAAGAAGGTTAAGGGAAAAGTGAGATTTTTTTATTTATCTGATCCCGCTTTATCTTAATCTTTGCATACAGTGGAAGTAACTTTCTATGTACAGAGAGATAGTAAAGAAAGTAAAGGCCCTCCCATTGATCATCGATTTGCTCGAGCGGGCCCAGTAACGTCTCCATTGGAGACTTTGTTGTTACTGTGTCTGGCATATCGAATACTCTCGGTAGCTTGCCGGGCTCTCCGAGAGGGGCGGAGGAATCGAACTCAGGTTGGCCATGTTGGCTGCGTGCAAGGCAAACGCCCTACCCGCTGTGCTATCGCTCCAGCCCACAGAGAGATAACGAAAAGGAATTTCAGTTAAAAGAAATTACATATAGAATCTAAAGGCAAACTAGACTTTTGTGTATTTGGGGAGGGGGGGTCACATCCAGTGGTTCTCAGGACTGACTCCTGGCTCTGAGCTCAGGAATCACTTCTCCTGGTGCCCATGGGCCCAGATGGGCTGCCAGGGATGGAACCTGGGCTGGCCATGCACAAGGCCGGCGCCTACCCAGTCTCCTTCTGCTCCAGTGCTCCGACCCTTATTTTTTAACTTTTATTTATTTTTGCTTTTTGGGTCACATCCAGCAATGCTCAGGGGTTCCTCCTGGCTTTGCCCTCAGGAACTACTCCTGGCAGTGCTCGGGAGACCATATGGGATGCTGGGAATCGATCCCTGGTCGGCCTGGCCACGTGCAAGGCAAACGTCCTACCCACTGTGCTATCGCTCCAGCCCTTCCGGCTCTTATTTTTAAAGTTCATCTTGCACAGAGTCTACGCTGTCACTGTTCCCTGTCACTGTTCCTGATCTCACCTCGGGGATTACTGCGCCTCGTGGCTTTGCTGCAGCCTAGGAGGGCTTGGTGGTGGGCTGATGGAAGCTCCCCGGACCCCTGAGGGGGCAGCCCAAGGTCCAGCCCCTGCGGAGCCAAGCAGAGCCCCGTGCTCTGCTGGGGGGACCCAAGGAGCAAAGCAGCCCAAACACTCACTGGACACTCACCAGACACTGTTCTTCTTGGTTTTAGCACAGTTTTGTGCAACTTCCTGGCCTGAGTGCAGTTTCTGTGTTTGTGTGTCTCTGTTATTTTCTGCATCCCTGAAAAACACTGAGAAAAACCCCCACCCCCCAGTTCTGTCGTCTCCATCTCCCTGCCCGTCTGGGCCCCGCCCCCTCCTCACATGGCTGCCGTGAGCAGCGTGCAGTGAATTTATATTTATATTATCTTCTGAATATATAGGGCGTGGCTTTATATCTTCAGTTATTCTTTGGTCCTCGGGTGCCTCAGAGCAGAACTGCCGTATTGTATGAGAGCTGTATTTCCAATATTCTTAGAATTTCCCATACCATTTTCCGTTGGGGCTGGAAATTATGCTCCCACAGCAGTGAATGGGGAGTTCTTTTTCATCTGCGTTTCCACCAGCGTGTTTATTGGGACCTTTTTTTCCCCTTTTTTTTGGTGGGAGGTGATTGGGGTGGGGGCGGGGCGGGGGGAGGCATGTGCATGTTTGGGCCACAGTCAGTGATGTCAGCAGTTTCTCCTGCAGTTCCCTGCTCTGGGCTCAGCCCTGGTTGCGGGGCAGGAACCGTTGTGGTGCTGGGGATCTCCCTGGGGGTGTCCATGCAGCTCTCTCTCCGGCCCCTTGGTTCCAGTTTCTTTTGTTGTGTAGCGACTTTAAATTGGACGTTGTTCTCGTTTCCACCATGTTTTCCCTTGTAAAGGCTGCCCCAGAGGCTATGGGCTACTGGCCGAGTGCAGCTCCCTGGCTAAAGCCAGGCCTTGTATGCTGGGGGCAAGTCTCAGCCACGCAGGAAAGAAGCAGAGATCCAGACAAGGAAACCTTTCGCACCTAAACTTAATTCCTCTTTCCAAAACCTTTAGATTATATTTCTGTATGTTTTTTCCTCGTGAGGGCTGGATTCATGAACGCTACCATTGATGTAAAGAAAATAGTCAAAGGGAAAAAAATATTACCCCAGGTTTTATCACTCCAAATCATTTTCATCTTTTGCATATTTATATGTATAGTCTTAAATTACAGCCGCTGCAATTAAACATTTTCAAACCAAGCTCTGTAGGGGTCTTAAGATGGGCCTTGGGACTGGAGCGATAGCACAGTGGGTAGGGCATTTATTTGCCTTGCACACGGCTGACCTGGGTTCGATTCCCAGCATCCCATATGGTCCCCCCGAGCACCGCCAGGAGTAATTCCTGAGTGCATGAGCCAGGAATAACCCCCGTGCAATGCCGGGTATGACCCAAGAAGAAAAAAAAAAAGATGAGCCTTTTGTCTGGAGCTGCAGAGGTGTGAGGCTTCATCAGAGACACGGTGCCGTGGAGGTGCCCGCTGTGTGGGTGGTTTGTGTCCCGCTGCCCCTGGCTCTGCCCCCTCGGCCGTCCTATCGTCCTCAGAGCGGCCCGAGGAGAGCGGTGGGCCTGGCGTGCAGCGAGGTCTCATCCCTGAAAAGCACTGAGAGTTTTCAGTTCGTTTCAGTGGGAGAGAGAGGGCCGGGGACAGCTCGAGGGGTCCCGAGCGTCGCGGGGGGTGGCCTTGTCGCCCCCACTTTGCGCGACACCTCTGGGTGCGGCCCTGATGAAAAGAAGAAAGGTAGCCGAGTAGCCCTGGGGAATGTGAAAATGAAGGACTAGGTCATTGATCCCTAACCAAATATCATATAATTAAGGATAAAAGCGGCTTAATATGCCAGAAAATTAGTCTAATGAACTGTCCTCGGGAATTCTTGGAGAGATTCTGCAAAAATGCGGGGCGAATTTAAATTGTTCCCGAGTGGTCAGCGCGGCCTGTCGCAGAGCTGAGCTCGGGGCCCAGGGACACCTGGGTTTCTGCCAGCCTGGCAGGCGGCCCAGGGCGAGGGCCCAGCCGTGTGGCGCCCGGGGGTCAGATGTAGGCTGGGCATATGCCCTCGCCACTCTGCTGCTGTGGCCGCCCGTTCCCCAGGTCTGGCCAGGAAGCCAGGCATGCTAAAAGTTCTCTGCTCACGTCCTTCCTGATTCCATTCCTGGGACTGCACGGGACCCCTGAACCCAATAGGAGTCAGCCCTGAGCACCGAGCCGGGAGTCAGCCCTGAGCACTGCTGGGTGTGGCCTGAAAGCCGCAGGAAGCAGAGATCCTTATGCCACTTCCCCGCCCCCCCCCACCCCGCTGTGTTGTCAGGTGGGAATCGCCTTCCGGCTCTCGCCCAGCGATGGGGCGCCGGTCGTCGGACACGGAGGAGGAGAGCCGGAGCAAGCGCAAGAAGAAGCATCGCCGACGCTCCTCGTCCAGCAGCAGCTGCGACAGCCGCGCGCACGGCCGCAGGAAGGGCGGGCGCAAGTCCAGGTCCCACTCGCGCTCCTGGTCCCGAGACCTGCGACCTCGCTCGCGCTCCTACGAGAGAAGGTGCCTTCCCCGCGCCCACACCCGAGAGGGAGGGAGGGCGACTCGCACGCCGCGTGCTTCGTGAGAGGGGGTCTGAGGGTGTGTGAGGGTTGTGTGAATACATGCCTGAGTGTGTATGACTGAGTGTGTATGATTTGTGAGTGTATATGTGTGTGCCTGAGTGTGTGTTTGACAGAGTATGTGTGAACGTGTGTGTGACTGTGAGTGTGACCGAGAGGGTGTGGGTGTGACTGTATGTGAGGCTGTGTAATTGTCTGTGTGTTTGTGACTGAATATGTGTGACCATGTGAGGGCATGTGTGACTGAGGACATGGGAGGGTGTGTGTGTGTAAGGATGTGAACATACATGTGAGTGTAACTGTGTGAGAGTGTGTGTGTGACTATGAATTTGTGTGTGACCACATGTATGTGAGTAGTGTGTCTAAGTGTATGTGACCTGTGAGTGTGTGACCGTGTATGTGACTGTGAGGGAGAGTGGGTATGTGACTGTGTGTGTGTGTATGATTGTGGGGTGTGTGTGTGCGCATGTGAATGAGTGTGCATGAGCGAGTGTGTGTAGGGTATGTGAAGGTGTGTGGGTATGTGAGTGTTGGTGTGTGCGAGGGAATGTATGTATGATGTATGTGAGTGTTGGTGTGCGTGTATGAGTGTGGTGTGTATGTGTGAGGGGGAGTGAATGTGTGTGAGAGTGTTGGTGTGTGTGTTGGTGTATGTGAGTGTGAGAGTGTTGGTGTGTGTATGAGAGTGAGTGTGTGTATGTGAGAGTGTGAGTGTGTGTGTGCGCGCGCGCGCGGTGGGGCTGTCCCTGGCAGTCGGCCCTGCCTGCGCCCGCCCCGGCCCCTCTTGCCCTCACGGCCGCGGCTCTGTCTGTCCCAGGCGCAGGTGCCGCTCCAGCAGCAGCTCCTCCTACGGCTCCAGAAGGAAGCGGAGCCGGAGCCGGTCCAGGGGTCGCGGGAAGTCGTACCGAGGCCAGAGGTCGAGGTCAAAGAGCAGAACGAGAAGGTAGGCAGCGGCCGGTGGTTCCTGGCGATGCCCGGTCTCCCTCGCTCGAGGGGCCGCGCTGCGCCTCTCGCTGCGATTGGCCCACCAGAGTGGCGGCGGCCAAGTTTAGGGCCCTGTGCGCCCCAGTCCCGGCCGGCCCCTCCTCTCGCCCCTGCAGGGTTGCCCTCCCCCCGTCCTGCCCCTCCCCTGCCTTCTCCCCCGCCCTGCCCCATGCCAGGCGTCCGACTCAGATCAGCTCTGCTGTCTCTGTGGGCGCCGGGCTTGGCTCCTCCCCACGCTCGGAAGTCGTCCTGCATCTGCTCCCCCCCGCCCTCGCCCTCGCGCGTCCCCAGACCCTCCACGGCATCCAGGTAGCAGCAGGTTGCACGACTTTATCTTTGTGACGGCCGAGTAGCATTCCGCTGGGTGGATGTACCAGACTTTCTTTAGCCACCTGCCTGTTCTTGGGTACTCGGGTGCTTTCCAGATTTGGGCTCCTGTGGCTAGTGTTGCCGTGAACACAGGACAGGCGTCTTCTCTGTGTTGTGGGTTTTGATCTGGGGACCACACCCGCTGGCACCAAAAGGCTCTTCCTGCTGGGGGATGGGCTGCTGAGCTGTGGGCTGCAGGCGTGTGGTGGCGAGCGTGTTTGCCCTGGGCCATGTCTCCAGCTCCACGGCTGCGCTCACTCTCTCAAGGAATAACCCTGCATCCTGCGGGTGTGGCCCCCAAAACACAAAACAGAAAATTGTTTTTTAATCCGCCTTCCTCCTTTGGCCATCCTCACCCGTAGACACATAGTTTTCTGATTTGCAGCAGCCGGGTTCTGGATGTTGCCGCCCTTAGGCCCAATGCGGTTCTGTCCGGCTCCAGGGACCAAAACCAAAAAAAGATTTTTTTGAGAAGATTACAAATAGTGAGTTTTTCGAAGAACAGAATGTACGGTTTTGAGTCTGAAGTAGGTGGCTAGTGACCGCTGCCTTCCCGGGGCAGAGGCTGACTGAGACCTGGGTCAGGGATCACTCCTGTGGCTGCTCAGTCACCATCTGCGGTGTGGGGTGCAGCCAGGGCTAGCCGCCTGCGAGGCGGGCACCCTCACCCCCAACTGTCTCCCGGGCCCAGTCGGATTTTCAGAGTTGGCGAATTCCAGGGGGACGGATGCTCTTGCGGCCGAGCCTGCGCCTGGCTTTGTCAGCAAGCCTTGATTGAGTGAGTGATTAATTGAGTAAATGAAGTTAGCTGATTTTGGGAGCAGGGAAAGGTTTTATTGATTTGTAGAAGCGAGCCTTATTTTTGGGCGTATTGATTTGTCTAAAAAGAGGCTGATTACCAGAAAACAAATAACTCCATCTTAAATTTCCTAGCAGTGGGAGTGGGAAGAATAAGCTGCACTGGCGTGTGGTCCTCTCTGTTTTGGGTCGTTTTGGAGCATTTCCGCAGACACTGTTCATCAGAATCTGATCAGGGCGACAGAATTCCCGAGGCTCCAGGCTCTCCCGGGAACGCCAGGGCTCTGCGTCAGGCCTGGAGGTGGGCTCTGGAAGTCCTTCCTGGCTGGGCGTGTCCGGCGGTGGCTCTGTCCTCCCCTTGAGGGACTCCTGGCTGGCCGTCTGCTCAGAGCCGCCTCCAGGAGGGCCCGGGACTGACTGTCCTTCCTGTGCGCCTGCTCCAGAGCGAGAGACCTTGGCAGGAGGGGCAGGCGGTCACTCCGGCACCATCACTGTGTCACTGCGGCCAGGCCCCTCTGTTCCCAGGAGGAGGGGCCCATGTGCAGAGGGGGACAGGTCGGCCCCTCTCGAGTCGCCCTGGTCACCGCAGTCCTGACCCACGGCTGGTTACCAACGGTGACTCGGGTCCTGTGCTGTTATTTTGGGAAATCTACTTCAGGGATTTACATTGTCTTTCCCAAAACTGTCTTGTCCTTTTTTGTTGTGTTTTGGGGCCTCCCGGGGTGATGGAGGGACTGTTTCTGTCTCTGCTGAGTGACCAGGGGTGGGCTGGACAGAACCAGCTGGCGGCCAGAGCAGCCGCCGTGACGGAAGAGCTTGTCTCCTGCAGCTTCTCTCGCACCTGCAAAGTGTCTTCCGCTAGCGGAGTTTCTGGGTGAATCTCTTGGTGTCAGAGAACTCCATGACCTGTCCAGGAGTTTAGTCAGAACCGGAACTGGAGCATCTAAGGGGCGAGGCCGGCTCTGGGCACTGGGGCATGCGGTCTCGGCCCCTCCCGGCCTCGTGGGGCCGTAGCACTGTCTGGAGCTTGGCCGGGAGTGAGCCTAGCACAGCCGCTGGGCTCCAGGGACCAAAACCAAAAAAAATTTTTTTTGAGAAGATGACAAATAGTTTTTCGAAGAACAGAATGTACGGTTTTGAGTCTGACGTAGGTGGCTAGTGACCGCTGCCTTCCCGGGGCAGAGGCTGACTGAGACCCGGGTCAGAGCGTTCCAGGGAGCGGTGTGAGGTTTGAGGTGGTGACCAAGCGAGGCCGACCGGGCAACCTGCAGCCAGGCGTGGCTCTGGAATAGGATGTGAGTTTGGTCTGCATCTCTGCGTGGTGGCCGGCGTCCTGCCTTTCCTCGTGGTGGCCCCTTGCATGGCCCGTGGCATTGCAGCTTCCACGGGGCAGGTGGGGACCTTCCCGGGTGCTTTCCCGGGCGTGCTGGCCCCACTCTCTCAGGCCAATGCTTCCAAGAGTCCGTTAGGATCATTTATTTCTGTCCGTATTTCATTTCACATTTGTCATCCCCTAATTTCTTTTCCTTTTATTTACTTAACTCTCTGCCCCCGTCCTTCCAGGATGCGAAGCTCTGATATGATTGCAGAAGGCGGCTCCTCTCCTGCCCTGCCCCGCCCGGCCGCGACCCACTGGGCCGCCTCCGCTTACCTCTGCTTCACAGAAAGCGCCCGAGAAGTCAGATGTGTGTGTAGTTTTTTTTTTTTCTTTTTGGGCCACACCCAGCAATGCTTAAGGGTTTCCTCCTGGCTCACGCACTCAGGAATTACTCCTGGCGGTGCTGGGGGAACCATATGGGATCCTGGGAATTGAACCTGGGTCGGCTGCATGTTATGGCAAACGCCCTCCCCACTATGCTATTGCTCCAGCCCCATCTTATTATTTTTTTCCATGCGCTGTTTAGCCTGCGTGTTGGGTGCTGGGCGGGGGGGTGGGGGGGGGGTGGGGGGGGTCCAGACCCTGCGCCTGTGCCCTGTGCTGTTCCAGCCGCACATGACAAGGCCCACCTGGCCAGCCTGCAGGTGAGACGTGGAATGTCAGTGTCATTCCAGTTTTCATTTATTTTTGTTAGAAGTGAGGTCAAGGGGCTAGAGCGATAGCACCGCGGGGAGGGCGTTTGCCTTACACGTGGCCGACCCGGGTTTGATCCCCAGCATCCCATAGGGTTCCCTGAGCACCACCAGGAGTAATTTCTGAGTGCAGAACCCGGAGTCACCCCTGTGCATCGCCGGGTGTGACCCAAAAAGAAAAGAAAAAAAGCGAGGTTGAACATTCTTCACACTGTAGAGACCCTTTCTCCCTGTCTTTTATTTTTTGGGCCACATCCGGCGATGCACAGGGGTTACTATTGACTCTGCACTCAGGAATTACTCCTGGCAGTGCTTGGGGGACCATATGGGGTGTTGAGAATCGAACCTGGGTCAGCCCTGTGCAAGGCAAGCACCTTCTCTGCTGTGCTATTGCACTGGCCCCTTCTCTCTCTCTCTCTCTCTCTCTCTCTCTCTCTCTCTCTCGTATAAATTTTCTCATAATCTCTTTGGGTTTTTGGCTTTTTTCTTTCATATCGCACAGTTACTGCTAGATCTCAGCCTTCTAGTTGTGAAACATATGGCAAATATTTTCTTCTAGATTTTCAGTTATTTTTTTTATTTTGTGGTATTTATTAGCCACGTAAAAGCGTCTTTCTTTTATGTGGTCACATTTACCAGTTTTCCCTTTCACTGCATTTTCCTTACAATCAGGATGTAGATTCTGTCCTGAGGGTCAGTCACATCATGCAGATGCAGAGGATGCAAGGAGGTTTCCCCTGGTGCCTCCCCTCCCCCTTCTTCCCTCCCCCTCCCTTCTCTTCTTTCTCCTCCCCTCCTTCCGTCCCCCCTCCGTACCTGGCAGTGCTCAGGAGTTGTTGTAGCTCCGTGCTTGGGCTTACTCCCGGTGTTGCTCAGGGGCCCGTGTGTGCCGGAAAGCGAATCCAGGGCCACACGCATGCAAGGCTGGTGCTGTTCCGCTGGCTGTGCCCTCAGAGCTTGCTTGTGGTGTTCTCAGTTCCCTGTGCAGGGTGGGGCCCGGCGCCGAGAGCTCTCGCCCCTCGTTGGCATCGTGGGCTCCTGTGGAACCCACCTCTCCCTTTTCTGGGTCCTTCTGGCTTCTGCCTGTTCACATCAGGGGCTGGACCTGCATGGCCACATGTGTCCTGATGTGCTATGGAGTGTTTGTGCCGGGGCTGTGGATGTTGGCGTGTGGTTTATGTGACGGACCTTTTCCTGACTTTGATGGGGGATAATGATGGCCCAGAAAATAAGTGTGACAGTGTCCCCCCCAGCTTTGGGGAAAGTTTGAGAGCTGTTGGCTTTATCTAAATGTTTGGCAGGGGCCAGAGAGATTGTACGGTAGGCAGGATGTCTGCCTTGCATATGGCCAGTCACCCTTGTACATGGTATGCCCCCCTGAGCTCCCACAAGAGTGATTCCTGAGTCCAGAGCCAGGAGTGAGCCCAAAGCATCGCTGGCTACAGCTCAAGACAAACAAAGAACCCAGACAAACCCAAAAACGCCACGAGAGTGCTTGGCAGATCTCCATGGTGGCGCCCCTGGCCGGACTCTCCTGCTGCCTCACCGCTCGTCTGGCCCCTCGTGCTGTGGGTTTGTTCAGGTTTCCGTTTTCTTCCAGGACTCAGCCTTGATAGGTTTCTAGGAACTGACGCGTTTTCTCTGCACCAACCCGTCTGTCAGTGTGTGGAAGTCTCCCATGCCTCGGTGCATTGACCAGCAGGTGGCCATCTCGTTGGTCAT